AAAAAAAAGAAATATGATGAGCCATAAAAACCACAAGCTTCAGACCAAACTGGGTTTTAGTCATGTATGTTACTTACTATTGATTTTCTCAATTTTGTATCTCTCTCTTACTCTCTCCTCATGTATGTGCATATGGCCTTCCAGGGCTTACTTATATGAGCCAGCATTATGTTAGTAAGGTGCACCTGTGTTGAAGTGTGTAGTCATTGTTCAGTTGCTTTCACTGTGTATAATATTCCATTGTGTGAATATACCACAACTACTTGTGTGCTGCTGATAGGTGCCTTGTCTGTCTTTCAGCTGTTTCATTTCATAGCTAGAAAAGAAAATAGGGGGAAAGAAATCTTACCTCACAGAATTGCTGTGATATATGAAACAGTAAGTCCAGTGTTTCATACAGAGACTTAACACCCTAGCTAACTACTCATTTGGCCCTGGAAGGAGAAAGAAATAAATTCCAATGGCCTAATGAGATAGTAACTCCAACACCAATGTACAGAATAAGTTTCCCTTTTGGCTTTCGTCCTCCAGTGGTTCTCAAATGAGTGGGTTTGCAGCCCTGAAGGTATTTGGCAAGGTCTAGTTGGTGGGCACCAGGATTGCTACAATGTATAGGACAGACCCCATCACAGAGAATTGCCCACGCCAAAATGTCAACAGTTCCAAAGTCAAGAAACCTGGTCTATCTCTGCCTATGCTGGGGGTCGGGGGGGCTCATGCTCTACCTTGAGGACAAGAGACTCTTCCTTTGAAGATTGTGAGAGGAAACCTATGGAGTCCACACAGTGTCTGTGGGAGACCAGGAGAAGATAAGAAAAATTGTCCCTCAGAAAACCTGGGTTATTCAAACTTCCCTATTGGAAGTATGACCTCCATTTGCTGTTTCATCCCACTTCAGACCCCAAACCCACTGGCTTCTTCCAGGACCATGTCCTTCCATTAGGTCCCCAGATCAAGGCCAGAGGGGCTTCCCAAAACCCAGTGCCCCTGGTTATTTAATGCAGCTTCACACCATCCTGTTCATAAGGCTCTTTCCTGGTCCATCAAAATGGAATCCATATGGTAGACACTTTAGATATGTTCTGCTAATTCTCATGAGCCAGGTTGATAGGTATGACTAGACCTATTTCAGGGTTGAAGATACTCCAAATCACAGCAATAAGTAATTCCTGTAATATTTTAATCCTCAAGATTGTAATCTTGGCCAAACTTCAAAACTCAGGTTGTTTTTCACCACACTGTGTTGCCATGGGGACTTCACCCCGTCTGGTCACAATCTGCTCGACTTTGGGCATTGCCTACGGCTATGAGTGGGGACAGTGCAGCTACTGCCCAGAGCTGTTGTGATGCTCAAATGAGCAATGTAAGGGATCGTTACTTTCCATTCAGCCTTTTCATCCGTGCATGTACTTCTGCCAGAGATCATGGAAAAAACTGGAATTACAAGACAACCTGAACAGTTTCCTCCCCTGGTTATTTAAGAGATGCCGATGAAAACAACACTGAGATTCCACCTCACCCCACAAAGAATGGCTGCCATCAAGAAATCAACCAATAACAAATGCTGGCGGGGGCCTGAGGAGAAAGGAACCCTTCTCCATTGCTGGTGGGAGTGCAGACTGGTGCAACCACTGTGGAAATCAGTATGGAGAGACCTCAAAGAACTAGGACTGGAAGTCCCATTTGACCCAGCTATTCCCCTGCTGGGGATCTTCCCAAAAGAATTTAAAAAATCATATCACAGTGATATATGTGCACCCGTGTTTATAGTGGCACCGTTTGTGATAGCTAAAGTTTGGAAACAGCCCAAGTGCCCATCAACTGGAAACTGGATAAAGAAGATGTGGTTTTTTATAAAATGGAGTAATACTCAGCCATAAAGAATGAGAAACTAGTGCTCACTTCGGCAGCACATATACTAAAGAATGAGAAACTAGAGACATTTATAGCTAAATGGATGCATATTGAGGCCATCTTCTTAAGTGAAATAAATAAGACACACAGGTAAATACCGAACAGTTTCTCTAGTGTGAGAAACTGAAAGTGTAAATAAGGATTAAAATGAATAATTGATAATCTGAAATAGGAAGAAAAGATTCAAAGGGGTAGGGGTGGCAGGAGGGGAAGGGGAGAGATCAGAGTTACAGGCTGGAAGCTGGAAATAATCCATATATACATCCTGTTTAAAACTATAGGAAGAGATGTAGATAGAGACTAGGCTGGAGCTTATCAGTGGGTTGGGAAGACAGAGTCACTGAGATCAAAGGAGAGAAGGGTGTGTTTCCAGAAGAAGCACATACAGCTAGGTACAGTACACGGTACTCGACAGTGTGATAAATGACTGTTACTGTTTTATGTACTTATCATAACATGCTGTGCTTTTCATCCTTTACAGCATAATCCTACTTATATAAAAGAGTTTACTGTAAAACAGTGTGCTGCTATGCCAGTGGTAGCCTCATGTATCTCGTGTTTAACTGCGGATTTGGATAATATCAAGGGGCCATCACGGATGATTGACATATACCTTCTCAGTTTGCTCTTAGAAGTTGGCACTCTGTGTGGTACTTTGCAATACACACAGATGAAATTGCCTAGTAACGTATTTCTCAGATTGTATTTCCATCATGTGTCACATGACTGTATTGAAATTTAAATTTTAAAAATTTGACCTATGTGGAGTCTACTATAGCTAATTAGAATTTTTTTCCAGACCACTATTTGTTCAATATTAGTTTTGAAAATCTTTCTAAAACTAATCACATCCTTTGATGTCTTGTTAATGCTTGGGATTTTTTTTAAGTTATATGGAAAAATGTTTAAGTACTTTTCGGTTTTGCTTTGGTTGAGTTCTATTATATTTGAATATTATTATAGTTTTTTCCTTTGCATTGCTTTTCTTTGAATAATTTTAATTTTGTATATGTGTGTGTTTAGTGAATGATAATAAAGTTAGACATTTAAAAAAAAAAAAACCAGTGCCCTTCAGGTTCCTGCCCCTCATACAGGTACCCCAAGCACCTCTGCCTAGCACCCAAGGCCCAGCCTAGGTAGATCACCACCTACTCGGACCTCAAGCTCCCCTGTCCTCTAAGGACACTTCTGCCCAAGCCATGCTTAATGACCATTTTACTGCTAAGGCCCATACATTTGGTATGTTTTTCAGGCCTCCAGAGCTCTTTCTTCCCTGTTCATTACTGGTTAATTCCTACTTGTGCTGAAAGGTCCAGCTCCAGAATCACACTCCCCAAGAATTTTTACCTGTTTCCCCCCACACCTTGCTGAGTTCACAGACCCTGAGGTTAGCACAAAGAAATACAATTGTCTCATTGTCTATATGTCATCCTGCTAGTGAGCTACTTGAGACTGGGGACTGAGACTTTTGTCTTTTCATTCTGAGAGTCCAACCAAGTTTCTGGCACCTATTTAACAACTATATAATAATACTAGATGAGTGGACTAGTGGATGGATGGATGGATGGATGGATGGAAATGGATGTAGGTGGAGGGATCGATAGATGGATGGGTAGGTGGGTGTATGGACACAGATAGATGGATGGGTGGGTGGATGGATGACGTGAATAATAGATGGGTAGATATGGATGATAGTTGGATGGATGAAAATGGAAGTAGATGGAGGAATGGGTGGATGGATGAGTAGATAGATATGATTAGATGGGTGGGTAGATGGATGGGTGATATGGATGATGGATGGACAGATGTGGTTGGATGGATAGATGGATGGATGGAGATGAATAGATATGGATGGATGATATGGGTAATGGATGGGTGGATGGGTGGGGTGAAAGTTGGATGGATGGAAATGAATGTAGATGAAGGATAGAGGAATGGATAAGTGGATAAATATGATTAGATGGGTGGGTGGCTGGCTGGATGGATGGGTGGGTGGATATGGGTTATGGATGGATAGATAGATGGATGAGTATGGATGGGTAGATGAATGGAAGGATATGGATGGATGGATGGATGGATATAGATATGGATGGATGGATATGGGCAGATATATGAATGGATGGATGAGTGGGTGGATGGATGATGGATAGATGTGGATGGAGATAAATAGATGGATATAGATGGATGGATATGGATGGATGGATGGATGAGTGGATGAATGGATGGATATGGATGTGTGGATGGATGGATGAGTATGGATGGATGGATATGGATGGTAGATGGGTGGATAGAAATGGATGTAGATATAGGGATGGATAGATGAATGGATGAGTAAATGGATATGGATGGATGAGTGAGTGTGTGGGTGGATGGATGGATGGATAACTGGAGGTGGCTGGTGGGCAAAAGGTGAATGGAGCACAGAGAAAGGGCAGTCAGCCCAGCCAGGGGCAAGGTGGGCAGCCTTCCAGAGGAGCCCTGACCCTGTGGGTGAGCAGATGCTAAGCCAGCTAAAGATATGGATGGATGGAGATGAATAGATAGATATGGTTGGATGGACAGACAGATGGATATGGATGGGTGGATGGATAAATATGGATGGATGGATGGTATGGACTGATGTACAGATTAATACGGATGCATGGATGGATGAAACTGCTCTCCACAATGAAACAGGTCTTCGGATAAGATTATGGCACTAATGGAACAAGAAGAGCACATCACTTAGCCACTTTTATTGGACCGTTAAATGGATCTCACTGAGGAAGTGCCAGAGGAACACACACCGGAAGTGAGCCCATGCAGGGGAAGAGAAATCATGTTGAGTCGGGAAAGATACCGGTGTTAGGCAAAGCAGCTCTTCTCAGCTGAGTGACAGAACACAGAATGTCCCCTCTCCAGGACCACCAGGACCCTGACATTCCTGATGAGTTCTCTGAAGCATAAGCAGGTGCTGAGTGGCAGAGCAGAAGGGAAGGAGTCTAGCTAAGTCCCAGTGAGCTTCGCAGAGGGCAGTCCCACTTCCTTTCCAGCTTGTGGCTTGTTCTGCAGGAGCTGGCGGGCTGGGGCCTGGTCAGCGATTGGCAGGCTTGCTGGCAGCAGGCTGGGCTGCCGCTGTCTCTCGAGGAACTGGGCTGGCTGGCTTGGCCTCCGAGGGCTGGCCTGGACTCACCTCAGAGACCTTGGGCTTGCCTGGAGCGGCATCAGGGCAATCGGGCCGGCTGGAGGGGGAATTCTTGCCATCGCGTTTGTCGGAGTCGGACTCAGCACATGGCTGGCGGGGGAAGATGGGGCGGTAAGAATAGGAGGCCAAGTAGGCCGGGCGGCGCAGCATGGAGTAGCAGGCTCCATAGCAGGCCGGTCGGTAGCAGGCCGGTCGGTAGCAGGCCGGTCGGTAGGAGATGGAGGTCAGGTAGGGCTGCCTGTAGGTGACGGGCGCCTCGCAGAGGGGGCGGCAGACGGGGCGGTAGGCGGCAGTGCTGCAGGGTGGGTTGCAGGAACTGGGGATGTAGAAGGTCCGGTGATGGCAGGTTGGCTGGCAGATGGCAGAAGCCGAGGAGCCTGGACGTCCGCACAGAGGCTGGCCCGAGCTGGGTGGGCTGGAGACAGGCTCGCAGCAGACAGAGCGACAGCGCGTGACTACATAGGAGGGTTGGCACGGGCTGGGCACACAGACGCAGGGGAGGCAGGGGCTGGGCTCCGAGCAGAAGGGCTGGCTGGTGCTGGAGACGCCACATGAGGACTCTTCACAATCCGGGGCACACGGGGCCTCGGAAGAGCTTGGGGTGCAGCAGACCGGGCGAACACAGACGGGTTGGCAGACGGGCTGGCAGACGAGGGCCACACAGCCCGCCGGCTGGCAGGAGCTGGTTCCTGAGCAAGGCGGAGAGCAGGGGCTGGAGTCGCAGCAGGCGGGCTGGCAGCTGCTGCTGGCAGAGCAGGCGCAGGGACAGCAGCTGGGTGTGGGGCACACCGGCTGGCAGCACACAGACTCACAGAGCATGGGCTGGCAGGAAGCAGGCACTGTGCAGACTGCTGGGCAGCAGCTGGGCTCGCAGAGGACCGGCTGGCAGGAAGTGGGCACACACAGCACCACTGGCTGGCAGGGAGTGGTGTCACAGCACACGGGCTGGGCACAGCTGCTCACCGAACTGGACGGCTCACAGATGTCGGCCTCGAAGCACAGAGGCTGGGCACAGCTGCTGACGGAGCAGGTTGGCTCACAGATGGTAGCTTCGAAACACACGGGTTGGCAGCAGCTGCCCTCAGAGCAGGACGGGTGGCAGCATTGTGAGCCGCAGCTAGTGGACCCGCAGCTGTCTTCACAAGTTACCAGTTGCCACGTCTGGCTCCGGCAGGAACTGGGCAAGCACACAGGTCCCCCACAGCTCACTTCGGTGGAGCAGAGAGAGACGGCTGGCAGGGAAGGGCATCTTCTAGAGCAACAGCTGCTGGGCATGGTGAGAGGCTCTGCTTCCTTGTGAGTGTGAGGAGGTGGCTGCCTGACTATGGCAGGAGGTGGCTGCCCGACTGTACCAGCTTCTCTGTGGCCCTCTCTTTTATACTCCCTCCCTGAGGCACGCTGTTTGGGGAACCTTGCTTCTTTTCCTCATTGCTTTTGTACCAGTTTGCAGAGGAACATCTTATTATGCCAAGGTCTGTTGATCTAGGAGTTGTTTATCCACCCATGAAGAAGTTTGTTTATTGGCCAGCTAAATTTGGAATCCTCAGAGTTACAGCTAGTCTTGGAACAAGCATCATCACCTGGAAGCTGGATGCTCCATACTTCCTAGCATTGTGTACAAGGAAAGAGGAAAGGAACTTGTAATTTACCCACACTATGCCCCGGGCTGGGCATAGAGGATGCCCACATGAATGTGACCTCCTCTTCCTCTGCCATCCTCAGGGACCTCATTCTGGCGGGCACATGAGAACTCAGACAAACTCACTGCGTGGGATTCATGCCACAGAGACACATGGGTTAGTAGAGCGAGGTGGTGACCAACCCAGTCCAGGAGCGGAGATCTAGGCTGGGTTTTAAATGACTGCACCTTACAGTAACAATCATACTTCAAACCACCAGCAGTTCCATGGGACAGAGGTGACTGTCCCCCAGTACACATGGCCAAGTGGGAGGGAGAGTCAGGAGGCTGTCACTTGCTGAGGATCTTGTACAACCTGCCCTTCATGTGCCCTTCATGTCCCTTCTCCACAGCGGCTATGTGGACTGACCTTGCTCAGGCGACTTCGTTGACGAAGCCACACATCACGCCTCCACCCTGACACCGCCTTCCGCCATGCTCCACGAGCAGCCCCTCCCAGGACAGTCGCTCTGCCTGGCCCTGGAAAGCCCTCGCCCTCGCCTCTTCCGAGCTTCGCCTGATCACCAGGCTCCTCCTGGCCCTTGGAAAGATGCTTCCCTGATCCAAGGCTGAAGAGGAAAGACAGGAGGTCACGGGGGGCTGCCCAGGTTATCTCTCCAAGACACAGCAGACAAGACAGAGATGAGCGAGACACGAGCCCCGGTTTCCTAGTACGAAGCCGTGCCGCTCTGCTCAGGCAGGGCCTGTCTGGCCTCTATCCTGGGTCTCCCCCTGGGGAACGCTGAGCCCCTGCGCCATGCTCCCCGCCCTCCTTTCCTTCGTTCACCGTTCCCCTCAGCCAACCCTGGGTTCCATGCGCAGGATACAACACATGGAGCTGCAAACTCAGCCAGAAGCGGTACGAGTGTCGAAGAAAGACGCGCACATCTGTAAGCAGTTGTGTACAGCTTCCCCGCACTGTAACGACTGCGCTGGCACTTGGGGCACCAGGCGAAGTACAACCACGGCTTTGGGGCAGCTGGGGGACCTTCTGAATCCGTCTGATGGCCGAGTTGAACCCCCCGAGGAGCAGGATGAAAGAGCGGTAAAGGCAGGAAAAGGATGAGTGTGGAAACCAACACAAAAGCAGGATGTCCAGTCCAAAAATATGGTGAACATTTTAAACCTTTTTAAATTTACTACAGAAAAGAGGTATTGCCATGAATTTCCCTCAGAATCTACCCCGTGACTTCAGACACACTTTTTCCACTGTGCTTGCCACTTTCTGAGGCAGTTCTGGAAGTCCTTTCTTGGGTGTCTTTGGTTGCCTTGTTGTGGCTGCCTCGATGTCCTGAATCAATTCCAGTCCTTCAAAGCGTTTACCTTTCATGGACATTTTGACTTTGGGGAGGAGCCATTCCAACACCGGGACCCCATCATTCTTGGCAATATGTCTCCCTTCTTACTGTAATTTTTTTTATTTAAACATGTATCATATCTTTCAATCACCCTATGCATTAAGGAAGCAGGAAATTGTTCCACATAGTCATCGTGGACAGGAAGAGACAGGGACAGAACTAGAGGGGTCACGGGCTCCCATCCTCAAAGCCCTTGTGGACCAGGGGTAAGAAGCTGGGTTTTATAAAGGCTCCTGGGGGACTGAGCAAGGAAGCGACTTGGTCAACTTCGCCCTTTGGGAAGGTCTCTCTGGCCGTGGAGAAGAGAGGAAGAGGAGAAGTCTGGAAGCAGGGAGATTGGAGCAATCACCCAGAAACCTCACGGTGACTGCCGGAACTGGACAGTGCTCTGGGGCCGGAGACTTAGGAGGCGGAATCGCCTTGCTGGTTAAGAATGTGGTCTTAGGGAGAGGAAGCACTGTGCTTTGAGGCGGATCCCTCTCGGACTGGGGAAGAGGACTCTGGGCAGCTCAGCTGAGGACTGCTAGCTCCTGTCCTCTCCGCCCATTTCCCTTCTTTAACTAAGTTCTCGGCGGAATTCTGGACTGTTGTGCGGCACACCAGCTCCTCACAGAACCCTTCCCTTCTAAGTGAACCAGCAGCTCTTCTAACGATGGAGCCCACTCCCACTCGATTCCTATCGCTCCTTGGCATCATCATAAGGCAGCGAGTGACCTTGTCTGCTCACTGACGTACACTCAGCACCAGAGCGAGGCTTGGCGCACAGGAGGTACACAATTAATGTTTTCTGAATGAACCAATGAGAACCTAAGCCCTGGAGGTGATTCAGAGAAATCACTACCTCTACTCACACATCTGGGAACCTGGCCGTGAGCAGTGGGACAACCGGCTGCTCTGAGTCATGGCCGCTCAGTGCGGCCCTCTGGCCCTCATGCTCCTGCTTCAGCTCTGGCTGTGTCCTGAAGGCCCCAAAGTCAGCTCCTGGGAGACTAATTCTAGCCACAACAAACAGAGTCTGAACCTGAACCGGGGCAGAGTCAAATCTCACATCCTCTCCGACTATGATAATTGTACTAGAAGCAATAGGGTTTTAAATGAAACCAAAATACGAAAGCCCCATGAGCCACATGTAGACATCTAGAATAGCTAAAAACACAAAAACTGATAGTGTCAAGAGTTATCAAGGACATGGAACAAGTAAAACACTTGGACCTTGCTATTTGGGTCCAGGTGTGGGGCAATCCAAAGTTAGGCCATTCATTCGCCATGTACCTAGCAATCCAAATCCCAGGAATTCATCCAAAAAAATGAAAACATATGTTCACAATGAAACTTGTACATGAATGTTCATTCCAGCTTTACTCATAAAAGCCAAAAACCTCAAAACAGTAGGGTGAATGAATTTTAATGTAGTTTATCTATACATTATATTTTTCAGTGAAAAGGAATGAACCATTTATACCTGCAATAACACGAATGAATATCAAAATCGTTACACCAAATGGAAAAAGGAGTTTACACTGCGTGACTTCTTTTATATGAAAGTCTACAAATGACAAAGTGTCTGGTGACATCAAGGGTGGGTTGATCATTTCTGGAGGCTTGGGTTGACTGAAGAGGGAAGCAGAGTTTGGGGAGTGATAGAAAGCTTTATGTTGGGCACAGTGTCTGTGACACAAGTGCCATGTATAAAATTTAAATCTCATCAAGCTGTACACTAAAAAAAAGGGAGCATTTTATTAAATTTAAAGTATATCTCCTTTCAGACAAAGGGTATCTCATGTTCCTTCCTGCTTAGAGTTCACTGAAGATTCCAGATAACTTTTGGTGGGGGGAAAAGGGGATCACACTGGATTTGGCCATTCACCTGGAAGACGTGTTCAAAAATACACTGAATGCTGCTGCTAAGTCCCATCCAAGGGAAAGGGGGGGGATCCTCAATACAAGAAGCAGTTTGTGGAACCTTAGAAGCAGCGTGACAAGTTTTTAACTTGTTCGGTGAGCTTTGGTTGAGAAAAGGTGTTTTCGACTCTGCTGCAAATAGGGGATCATGAACAAAGCATTAACGTGGAATTTTGTCTCAAACTACAAAAAAGTGCAACAGAAACACATGCGATGTTAAAATTAGTGTATGGTGATGGTGCAGTGACTGGAGACAGTTTCTGAGTGGTTTGAGCAATTTCATAATGGCTATGAATCAGTTGATGACAAAAAGAATGTCCTTCAACATCAAAAACCCAAAAAAAGATTAAAAGAATGAGTGAAATGATTAGATCAGACAGTTGACTATCAAGGACATTTCCGAGGATCTGAAGGTCTGTTCCATTCAAAGCATTTTAACAAATTTAATATGAGGGGAGTATCACATTTGTTCCACATGTTTGACTGCTGAACAAAAGCAACATCCATTGGTTATTCTGTTTGGAGCTGTATGCCCTGCCACTTCAGGTTCCATTGTTTTAGTAAACGTCATCAGGGGACAGAAACTAAGGTCTGTGATTATGATGCTGAGACCAAGTTTCTGAGTTCTCAGTGGAAATCACCCAGGTGGCCCTGTGTGAGAAAAGCGCCTCAGTCAAGATCCAACATCGAGGTGATGCTGTGTTTTTCGACCTTGATGGGACTGTGGAATTTGAGTTTGTAACCAGGAACCTTGAATATTCCAAGAGCTTATTAGAACATTTACAAAATGATGGGTGAAGAAGGCAGCCTGAGAAACGGGCATACAGTTTCATCCTCCCTCATTACGACGATCCATGTCATGTATCACTGGATGCAGCAATTTCTGTTTCTACCTTATCAGATCTTGCACTGCAAGTTCTTGCTCTTTCTCAAAGTCAAAATGACCATGAAAGGTAAACATTTTCAATAGATTCAGATTATCAAAGTAGCCAACACAGCACAAGTAAAGACACAAAAGAGAACTGCTTCAGGGTCTCGCTGAGTTACCCAGGCTGGGCTGCAAGGTGTTTGTCTCCTCTTTTTTAAACAGCCATATACACTAAAAAGTCTGCTACTCCACTATCAAAGACTGGAATCATCCAATAATTAGTCAAATTCCTTTGTCACCCCAGATATGTTACTTAACCAGTGACAGTTGGCTACTCATGAGCTAGGTGCCCATCGACCTCTATAAGGCATTTTTTTTTTTGGTACCGGAGATTAAACTCAGGACCTTGCACTTGAGAGTCTATAAGGAAGTTAAGGCACTGGGGATAGGCAGGCCGACTAAAAGGTAGGAGTATGGCTCCTGGCCTTTGCCTCAATCATCTCCAGCACCCCAAAAAGCCCTGCCAAATTGAAATTTCTCATATTTGGCTTTTTCTACCATTCTCAAGGAGATGGTGGTTTCCAAGCAAAACTAGCCATGTTATTAAATGAATAAATTGCACATGCACTATAAAAAATAAATAAAGTATATCTCAATAAAGTTGACTTATAAAAATGACGTGGATGGGCTGGAGATTTAGCTCAGTGGTTTCAATGCCTGCTGCACAAGCGCAAGGACCCAAGTTCGATCCCCCGTACCAAAAAAAAAAAAAAAAAAAGATGACATGGAACATTTTTAGAAAGCAAAAAAGTAGAAGCAGCGTGATCCCAGTTTTATTTGTAAATATGCTTACAAAAGAGTTTGGAAAGACCTATATGAGTATATACAGAGTCTGCCAAAAAGTGTATCCACACTTCAGGAAAAGAAAAACTTGTATAAATATTTTAATACTAAATTTATTAGGACATCATGAGATTGATATAAGTTCCCGTTGGCCTCTACAATGACAAGAGGGGCTCAGAGTGGTGGCCATGAGCTCCCAGATATTTATTAGTGGGGTGAACTGCCGCTTGGGTCACCTTGGTCACTGAGCTTGCTGCAGGTGCGTTTTCAGTTTCTTCTCTAAGGGCCGGCAGTGCCGTGGGTTTTCTGTGATATACGACATCCTCCAAGGTCCTCCATACGAGGAAACACCATCTGTTGAAAAAGTCATACTCTTTCTCTTTCCCTGAAGTGTGTGGTGTGTATACATATTTGGCAGACTGTATATCTGAGCATTTGGGGGCTATTATTTCTCCTTTATATCTTTCATGTCTTTAGAATCGTTGCTATGCTTATAATCAGAAAAAAAGTTTTTGCTTATCTATTGGTCAAATGAAACATTGCTCTGTCGGAACAATGCTGGACATTGTTCTTCCGGGGCAAGAGAAGAAGTAGGTTCATTCCCAAGTGGCTTAAGATCACTTTCAGCAACAGGTTAGAGCATCTCTCCCTTGAATCTTCAATCTCCAGCTGGGCTCCCACACTTGAGCCAGGCCCCATCTTCCAGACGGACACCCACCCTCCCCTCCCAGCAGAAGGAAGGCAGCTGGCTCTAGGAGCAGAAACCCTGAGCCAGCGAAGCAAGCTGAGGCTGGAGGAGCAGGGGCAGTGAGTGGAGAGCATCCGTGGAACTCACACTTTCTCACAGCCTTGCCAAGCACGCGAGTCCCTGCCCTTGGGCACCAAGCTGGTTTGACCGAGGCCTCCTCCTGTGCCTCCTCCTGTGCCTCCCAAGCAAATCGTGACATCCTGCAGCCCTCCTAGGAGGAGGCAGAGCAGAGAAGCCAGGCCCGTCCTTCAGGACTCAGTCCGGCCAGCGCCAGCACCTACCCTGGAGCTTTTAAAACTGCAGGTCCCAGGCCCGCTCAGGGGTCTCATGGTGACCCCCATGGATCCGCATTCTTTAAAGCTCCCCGACTGAATCTCATGGACCACGGAGAAGCGTTGTCTACACGGACCGCCTCCAGCTGCAGTGCACAGAATCACTCAAGGCTCGGGTTGAAAGCAGATTCCCAGGCCACACCTCTGTGGAGTCTGCATCTGGGGGTCTCAGAGGGACCCCGGATCTCCGCCTTTAGTCCCTAGGTGGTGTGGATGCAGGTGATCCAAAAGCACACTGGAAAACCCTGCCGAGTTTCCCCAACCTGTGGCCGGGGGAAGCGAAGGAAGAGGCAGGAGGACTGAGTGGGTTACACCAGCGTGCTCGGATTTATTAAGAGGGTGACAGAGTTGGTCCTGTTCTCCTGAGGGTGAGGGGGATTTTGTGCACAAGTAGCAGGAAGCTCTGGAGGAGGATCAGTCCCGGAGGCTCCTCGGATGAGGAGAGGAGCGTCACGGCAATTCACCCCCCCCCCCGGGCTGGGGACACTTCTTAGTACCCGGCTCTCGCTCCTGGCCAGCGAAGGCTCTTGCTCTTGTGCCTCAGAACACCAGCAGCAGGGCAGGCGTTGGCGGGGGAGCGCTGCGCCGCTCAGGACGGGAGAGGCGGGCCGCCCTCGGGCGGGCGTGGAAGGTTCTGCAGGCGAGGGGACCCCCAGCCGGAGCCGAGCGCGGGGCCAGCGCGGGACCCGGCTTCGGGCGCGCGAGGGGCGCGGTCTTCACTTGGTGTCGCACACGGGCTCGGGCTGGCAGCACACGGGGCCGCAGCCGCAGCAGGAGCCGCAGCAGCCGGAGCCGCCGCAGCCGCAGCAGGAGGAGCCGCCGCAGCCCCCGCAGCCCCCCGAGCCGCAGCCCCCGCAGCCCCCGCAGCCGCCGGAGCCTCCGCAGCCGCAGCAGGAGGAGCCGCCGCAGCAGCAGCCGCAGCAGGAGGGCTGGCAGCAGCACTCCTCACAACAGTCCTGCTCCTGGCAGCAGGGGAAGCAGTTGCCCGGGCAGCACCCCATGTCAGCCGCGCGGCGTGCAGGTCCGACGGCCGGCTCTGCCGGTGGCCGGCCCGGCCGCAGCTTTTATACCCCGCCCGGGCGCGGGCCCCGAGACTGCTTTGTTGTTATTTACCCCGGGCTCCCCAAGAACATCTCATTACCCGGCTGCTTATTTTCCAGCTCTAAGTACCTCAACTCATAAAAAGCCCCACTCGTCCCAACTGCTGTTTGTCCGCAGGGTAAACACACACCCGGAGGACGCCGGTCATTAGCCGGAGCGGAGCAGGAAGGGGACGCGGCCGGCGCAGGGCCCCCCAGTCCGCCCGGCTGCGCGCGCCCCTCCCGGGCGCTGGGCTCTGCAGCCGCGGGCTCCCCGAGAGGACACCGGCCCAGCCCGCGTGAGTGGCTCGGAGCCGCTCGGTCCTTGGGCTCGGCGGTGAGCGTCACCGTGAGTAACAACTGCCCTGAGCAACGGAGAAGGAAGACTCGGGAAGGCACCTTCTCACCTAGTGGGCGGGAGCTGCAGGCGCACACCTCTGCCCGCGCCTCTGAGAAGCAGAAGCCTGGTGAGGGGAACCGAGGGGAACCCAGTTCCCCAGAGCCCCAGGCTCCAGTCTCCAGGCCTCCTGGAAGAATGAGGAAATGCAGGAGGGAGGGGGAGGGGAGGGGAAGAAAGGAACAGGAAAGGAAAGCAAGAAGGAGAGCAAGAAGGCAAGGAGGAAGGGCTGGATAGGGAGAAGAGAGAGACAAAAAAGCAGGAGGACAGGAAGGCAGGCAGGAAGGCTGTTCTACAAGCAGCCCCAGCCCAACTCAGGTGACCACGGGGAACATGGGCCCCTGGCGTGCATCACTCAGTGACTCACATGACACTCTGTGTCTCCGTCAGCACAGTAGATACTCAGGGAGACGGGAAGGAAGCTCAGGGACAGATGGGGCAACCCCTGAACATCCGAAATAGTGCATCCAAAGGGGGAGCATGTCCAACCTTCTGGACCACGGAGGGCGAACCTTTCAGAGCTTTCGTTGATGACAAACAGCCAGATGCGTCTCGAGTGCTAGACCACCCGTCAGAATATGGAATTAGCAAGCAAAACGACAACTGGGGTGGTGTCAAATGTTGAGGTGGGGGTTGTGTACATTTGCGCGCACACACAACAGTGGAAGTCTTCACACACACACAAAAACCAACGGTTTCGTGACCCATTGCAGGACGTGTGTGTGTGTTTTAAGAAATAAGATCTCGAAGCCAGGCGTGGTGGTGTACATCTATAATCCCAGCACTCTGGGAGGCTGAGGCAGGAAGATCACACGTTTGAGCCCAGCCTGGGCGATTTAGCCATTTAGGGCAACCTTGTCTCAAAATAAAAAGTGAAAAGGGCTAGGGATGTAGCTCACTGCAAAGCTGAGTTTGATTCCCAGTAATGGGAAAAAATAAAATAAAATTGAGTGTCATTCCAAGGCACAAAATGCCCTTGGGAAGACTCTGAATCCAGAGGGTTGAGGCCCACATGAAATAAGGTCCTGCCTCCATTTTGGCCTTCTGGGTTCTTGGAAGGGCACGGCAGGTGGGACCCAGCCTGCCCTACGCCCTGTGCCCTGTCTGCCTCCCTTTCCTCATGAGATGGGGCCTCGAATAGGACCGGACGGAGGCAGACAGCGAGAAGGTGCAGGGCAGGAGCCAATGGGCTGCGTGCATCTGACAGGACCCCCAGGCTGTCACAGGGTGTAGACTTAGTGCTGGGAGAAACCCTTGAAAGATCAGCTGCTCCACCATTTCTAAACCCAGGTTCACATCAGAATTGCCTGGGTGGTGACTTTTGACAAACGCAGACTCCCCACATGGCGTCTATAGACTTGAGGCTAATATATGCGGCCAGTGTATACCACAAGCTTGGTCCTTGAGTTTCCCAAGTGAGCTGAATGATCAAATTGGTGAAAAGTATTGATATGATTTAATACCACCAGGACCGAGCACTGGCACTTACAAATGACAGATCAACCCTACCCAGTGCTGTTTCCTGACCCAGTGCTCCTCCCATAGTGACATGTCCACAGGTGGGCGGCTCTGGGGGTCCAGTGGAAGAATTTCCACCACAGACATGTCCATGCATGTATGTATGTATTTTTAGAGTAGGTGCTGTCCTTTGGGTCTGGACTGCTCCCAAAATTCTCACCTGCTAAGATATGAGGCTTTTGGGGGGTGGTTGGGTCCCGGGCGCTGTGCTCATCAGTGATCTGATCCCTCCCGCCCTCTGGCTCCTGACGCCCCGTGGTGTGGGCAGCGGCCCTCCCCCCCCCCGGGCCTGCCACCACCCCATCGTGCGTATGAGTCCACCGACCCTGCCCAGACTGAGATCTCCAAACGAGGAGCCAAGAGAAACAGCTCCTCCACTAAGCTGTGGGTGCCAGGTATTTGCAGTGCACTCGGAGGGATGTCCCCAGCCTCCCTGGTTGGGAGCCTAGTCCTCAGGGGCCTGAGCCCATGGGAAGCGCCTCTGGCGTCCCCTCTGGTGATGCTATCTCTCCATGCTGCCGGGCTCCTGCTCCTTCCCATGCCGCCGAACCCAGCAGCCTTCAGCACCCCTGAGCCCATGCTGGTGGTGTGTCCTCGAGCCTCCAGCCCTGAGAGCCAAAGAAACTTTTCTTCATGGAGTCACCCAGCTTCCAGTATTGCAAAATAAACCAATGCACAGGACGGCAGACAGGGAAGCGGTGGAAAGGGCTGCTCGTGCTCCTATCCCATCATCCGCTTCTCCTGCCTCTTACCCCGTCTCCCACACACACAGTTACTTGACCCCTCTATGCCCTGTTTCCTCATCTACACACTGGAAGTGGTGATAAGACACTGCCAATCTCACAGGGCTGTTGTGATTACACAAGTGGATTGTGGGGGCGTACGTGAAGAATACACACAACGACGGTGGGACACAGAGTGTGGAAACACCACCTCTTGCTGTGCGGTGAGAACCTGACAGGCACGGAAGCAGAGGAGCAAGCGCCTGGCTCCGAATCCCGCTGGAGAACCAAGCGCACACTTCTTCACTCCGGGCCCCCGGCCCCACCGACCCTTCAGTGTCTCAGCGACCATTTCATAAAGTTCTTCCGAGTCTTCCACTGCATCAGTCATCTCTATTTAACCAATTCCTTATTGAAAGGCACTGAGTTGCTGCTAGTGTTTCTGATATTTTCCTATAATAACCACGTTGCAGTGAATAACCATGCTCCAACTCATTTTATACACATCAAAATGGGTCCTTGCTGTAAATTCTGGAGCCGTAAGGCCCTGCATTTGCACTTTGGATGGATGTTGCCAAATGACCTTCTTGGAGTCATCCCACTTTGCACTCCCCTCACTAACGTGTGAGGCTGTCGCTTCACACGTCGCCTACACCATGTAGTGTCAAAGGACGTGAGCCTGCTGATCCGATCGGAGAAAGACAGGATCTTGCAAGTCTTAATCTGCATGTCTACTTTTGTGCGTGAAATTAAGCGATATTTCATGTACTAAAATTCAACTTCTGTTCCTTCTCCTATGAATTATCTTCCCATCCGCATTGCCCATTTTTCCCTGGGGTTGTTGGCCTTTTGCTTTGAGGGATGGGAATTGCAATCAAAAGTGAAACTTCATGTTAGGAGTTGCCATCTGCCTTTGACCCTGTATTTGTTTTAATAATAAAATTAAATCTCATGCCTACTTTTATGGAATTTCTGAAAAATAGAAAAGAGATGAATGTTTACCTTGTCTGTACTTCCACAACAAAGATATATTTAGTGTTAATAGTCTCATTTTCTTTTTAGTATTTACCTAAAAGAACGACACATAAATATTTATATGAAGGTAGATAAATATGCAAACATATACACACAGAAAAATACATATCAGTTACAAATTTCCAAGTCTATAGTCTAAGATATGTTAAAAATAAACAAGTATTTTTCTCTAACACTGCTTAAATCTATTTAAAACCCTTTTTTTTTCCAGTTAAGGGATGAAAAGAAAAGTCGGTTCTGGGTACTGCACTATTGAAATCATAGCCACCATGTGATTTGTACACTGAAAATTAGATTTAACCTGTAGAAATGCTCATGAGCACATTAATTGCTAAATATGGCAATTTGAGAATTCCTATTTTCAAGTTGACGTAAATCTTTTCCTGTTGGTTGCTATCTGTGTCAGTTCTAGTTTTCTAATATTAAAAGTGAAATAATGAGATGAATTTCCTTAAATGTGAATTTTTATATAGCTTTTTAAAATCTCCCTGAAATAAATTCTTTTTTTTTTTTTTTTTTTTTTTGGTACTGGGGATCGAACTTGGAAACTTGTGATTGCGAGGCAGGCACCAGAACCACTGAGCTAGATCCCCGGCCCTCTGAAATAAATTCTTAAGCCTTTGGTATGTAAAGAGTTTAAGGGTATTAATAAATGTTTTTAAATCTCTCTCCAGAGCCAGGCATGGTGGTGCCTGTCTGGAATCCTAGCACTCTAGGAAGCTGAGGCAGGAGGGTCACAAGTTGGAACCCAGAGTAGGCAGCTTAGCAATTTCATAATACCCTGTCTCAAAATAAAAAGTAAATAAAACGGGAGAGTGAAGATGTCACTCAGTGCACTGGGTTCAATCCCCAGTACCACCAGAAAGAAAAAAGAAAAAACCACTCTCCAAAATAATTGCCCCTCATCCATTTCAGGGTGCCCTTTCCAATGCCAGCTGCACACGATTCTAAATCTCTTGTCCATCGTGTAGGCTAATCATTGTACTTATTGCATTAGTAGTGCATTCACTTTCCAGCTTCTTACTTCTCCTTTTTGGGATTACCTGCTTCTGATGATTTTTCTATCAAGCTAGCCACCTTTCCTAATTTATTTATAAGAGCTTATTTAGTGGGAAGCATATTCACTTTTCCTTTGTGTCAGTCACACAGGTTGTGAAATTCTTCCCCTGGCATCATTTCCTTTAATCACATCTGTGGATTCTTTCACACACAGAATTTTCCTGTCCTGAGGACAAATCCATCCATCTTGTCCTTTCTGCTGCTTTTTTGTTTCAAAGGTTCTTCCCGTCCCCAAATCAGACAATTTTTTGCTTTGTTTTTTTTCTAGATGCCATGGTTGCCTTTTTTCACTTCGTGCTGTTATCAGGAATCTGTTCCGGAGTGTGACAGTTGTCCCTTTACACAACATCTTAGTTTTCTTCCTTGGACTTCAGGGGCCAGCCCAAGGAGGCTGAGGAGGACAGACCCCGGGGTGTGCCCTCTGTTCTGGCGGCCTCTAGTGTTCGGCTCGTGGCATTACACATGCGGCTCCTCCATAGGAGCAGGCTGCACCCGAAGCCACTCAACAAAAATCTGGCCTCCTGCGAGAAGCATCTTACTTGTACACGGCACCGATTTAATGCATGCGCCCAATCAGCCATCTCCTAGCAAAGGAAGCACGTCATTGGCCTCTCCCGTGTGCTCGACCTTGCAGGCGTTTTATGTGTTTTCTTGTGTTCATGTGCTTTCTCGTTTGCGATAGCTAAATACAACGCATGTTATTATCCTTAATTTGCTTTTTGCTGTCTATTGTGCTTGAGATGTGGGGGATTGAATCTAGGGCATTGAGCATACTAGGTAAGTGCACTACCACTGAGCTACACCCCCAGGCCACCGTTCCTTTGTACACAAGGAAAGCAAGGTTCATAGAGATCAGATACTTTAATTAGAAGCTACAGGGCTTGGAGCTGAACCCAGATCTGCTTC